CTTGTGAGCGGGGAAGAAATCTTTCTTGTCACCTTTTCTTTGCAGTTGTGGTGCTCAGCACAGGGCATTGGGCTTTGAAACCTTCCCATGCCAAAAGGAGTTTTCACAGCCAGGATCTGGAGGAAGGTGTCATCGCTTTCTCCCGTTGATGCTGTTCGTATCCCTGCAGGACAACAGCAAACAGCCCTGTTGAGTAATGGCTAGAGCATGCCCAGGGATATCGAGCATCCAACCGATGAATAGTTAAATAGCATCAGGAGGAGCAAAGCTGGATCATGTTGGATGCAGAATCTCCTGGGAAGGGGAATTATCCCATGCTGAGTTTCCCACACCTGATAATGCTGCATCCAGTGAGTGGCTGGGTGAAAGGAGGGAGAGGAGTGTGGCTTCTTGCTGGTCTGGCAAATGAGGCCTCTGCTTCCCTCGCTTTGTTCTGGTTCAAATGGGCACAGCAGAAGTAAAACGTCTTATTTTCATTATCACAAGTAGCTTAATTGGTACTGAACTGAATATTGGGGGGAGGGGGGTGACCCAAAGCTATTTTTTGTCAATTTGGATGGAAATAACTTTCTTCTTTTCTTCTTCCAATGCCTGGGAATTGTTTCCATAAGTTTTAAAGAGCAGTATATGATGGAGGTATCCTCGTGAGTGTTGTCCAGCTCCAAAATCCCCTGGGGTAGAGTTTTAACAGGGGCTGCAGGGAGTGGAGATGATGACTTGGTGTTAGAAGAGGGATGCTGCCCCAGGGCGATGCGGAGTGGAGCGGGAGCTCAGATCCCCTGTGTTCGTCGTCCTCAAAAGTCCCCCAGGCTCATGGTATGTTTTGCATAGGAGAACTGGTGTTGTGTCACCAAAACCAGACATGTGTCACCGGTTGCTGTGTCCTCGAATTGGTTGCAGGCCATCAAGCCTCAGGCAGCAGAGGTCCTACAAATACCAAATATTTTCTTAAGCTATGCTGGGGCACACACCCTTAAGAGCAGACAGTCCTATGCCATCGGCTTCTTTTTTTACGTGACAAAAACTTGCTCAAAACGGTCACCCAAGATGGTGTCTCTTGGCCTGGGTGCCTCAGCCCCTGCAGTGCCCCGGGGCATAGCTGCCTGCCTGGGATGCTCATGCCAGAAGTTCCCCTTCCCACCCTCTGCGTGGGATCTGGCCCTTTGGGTGTCCGGGAGCCACCCCAGAATACTCTGCGTGGGACCTGCTCCTGCTAGGACTGGGAGAGTTCTGACGCCCTGGTGCATCTGCCGGGCACCCCAAGGCATTTGGAGCTGGGGATGGCTTTGAAAGCGTGAATCTTGCTGGCGCTGGCAAGGCGGGGCAGTCGGGGGCCAGGCTGGGGTTGCCTGGGGAGGGTTGGGTGGGTGGAGAACTCGTCTCTTGTTATTAATTTGCTGTTTCTTGGCTTTGCATCAGGTTTCAGATTCAAGCGGGGGTTTGCCAATTTGCCGTTTTCGTTTGATTGTGGTGCTCTGTGGCATCTGCGCCAGTGGTGGGGGGCTCGGGGCGATGCCTCTGGCTTTCCCCCTCCAGTGTTGGGGTGCCGCCAGTGCAGGGGGCTCAGCCCGTCCACCCAAGCTGCTGCAGCTCCATGTGTGCACAAACACCTTCTGTTATTGCCAAACTTTGCAAAGAGTGATTTGGATTCTGCTGTTGTACAATGAAGGGCCAGAGGCTGTCGGATCTCCGGGCAGTTGTTTCTGCCATTCACATGCAGGTTGAATTTGGGGTGGGGGGGCTCTGTGCACAAGGTTGGGGCTCTCCTCGCTTTCTGGGGCAACCAAACACAGCTGGGTTGGGATGTCAGTACCTGATGTGCACTGTCTCCTTGCTCTAACGATGCTCTGAGAGAACCCCGGGTCCAAAGTGGATGCGGTTCAATCCGCTTCTGCTGATGAGTCTGAGCTCCACATTAAGGCATGTGCCAGCCCCGTGTCACCCCGCTGGACCACAGCCCCAGGCTGTCCTCCAGTGCTCCCGGCCCTGAAAAGCCCCGTCCCACCATGTGCAGACCCTGCAGCCTTTATCCACCCAGCGCATGCTGAGCTCAGACCCCATCACCGCCTTCAGCACAGCCCCTCCAAGCACGCAGCACGAGCGGCAGCCCTCCTTGCCAGCTGCTAGGTGAGGTTTTGCTGGGAGGACTGGAAGCCCTGGGTAGAGCATCATGTGAAGGAGCTGCTGTGAGGGCCGCAGGCTGGCACAGCACCGCAGGCCCACGGGGGAGCCATGGCCTGTTTTGGGGAGCCGCAGCATGTCGCAACCCGAAGGCTGTTGGTTTCAGCAGCGCATGGTGGCGTTTCTCTCGCTGTCGCTGGAGGGAGCTGCCCCATCCTTCATTGGCCTCCCAGATGGTATGACAAGCTGCAGCTCAGTAAAAAGGAAGAAGCTGGAGGATTCTGGGGGATTTCAGATGAAAACAGAGACCCAGGACCGGCTTCTGCTGCAGAGTGACTTGGAAGGGCCCCAGGATGTGGCACGCTCCACCGTGGGACTTTTGGTGTGGGAGCATGGGGTGGCATTGACATGTATGGGACGAGGAGACTTGCATGGCAGACCAGGGTGAGACCCCAGCACAGAAGAAAGCGGGAGCTCTTATTCCTGGCCTAGGCAAGATTTGGGGCAGTTAGCTTTCCCCCGGCTGGTGTCTGGTACTGGCTGGCATTGTCCTTCAGGTACCTCCTGTAGAGGCTGAAGATCAAACGTGCCACTGGGGAGCAAACCTCAGATCTGCCCCCCAAAAAACTGGCAATGAATAAATACAGCATAGCTCCTTCGCCATTTCTATTCAATGCATAAAAACCAGCCTAGCATCCGGACTTCAACACGGCACTCCAGTATCTGCTGGTGCACCCAGGGAATAAACAAGCTTTGAATTAAGCAAATGAAACATTAAAAATGTATTTCTGAATGCAAGAGGGAGCAGATAAGATAGCACAAAGCCCTTTATAATGGGCTGTTTGTGCAATCGAGCTTGGGGCTGTAATTAACCCCAGGTTTTTCTCCAGGGAAGGAGGACAGACACAGGAGCTGGGGCCATGTTTAGGTACATCAGGTATTTAGACAGCTGCTCTGAGGGACTGCCATATTTATTCTTGCCTCTTCCCTCTGCAATGAGCAATTTTTGTCCCTCTTCCTTGACCAGCTAAAGAAATGCTTGCTATTTTCTTCAGCTCCAGTATCAGGCCCCACACCTGGGATCATGAGCATGGCTGGAGTTTACTCCCATGATCTTTAAAGCTCCTGCTCCATCACCAGCTCATTTCATTCCTACGCAGGTAATGATGCCCTAGAAGTCAGAATAAATGCTTTTGGAGGTGACGATGCTACGACTTACTGGGGCCTGTCCCGATCGGCTTTGATTTTAATCTGTCCAGATAATTCAGACCTCAGCCTCTGCTCTTGTTCAAGGAGTGGGCAGAGGGTTTTCCAGCCACCTACAAGGAATTTCTCTGTGGTGCAGAGGTCTGCCATCACGGAATAAGAAAAGCCAGCTCATTGTCACTTGTAAACCTGTTGCCCCAGGGCCCAATTTCCAGAGGGAAAAGAAATTTAGAAGTTCATAAACTTCAAATAGACTAAAAACTACTTCTGGGGGCTATAGCAGGATTTATCTCAGAGCTCCATAAGGGTACAGCTGAAAACTGAGGCCAGAAGGAAGCACAGTGCTCAAGTCAAACTCCCAACAAGTGAAGCTTCTGAATCCAGAGTCCTCCCATAGTTCCCACACATCTTCTACTGGTAAACCATTGGGCAAATAATCCAGGCAGGACAGTTACAGGCTTGTTTTTATTAAAAGACATCTTCAGAAAAGATATTTTAGTACAAAAAAAAGGTTTAAAATACACAAACTACAGTTACTTTTTTTTTTTTCCCAGCATCAACATTTATAAATTACACTACATTGTTATTAACACTGCATTTAAATATGGAAACAAATTAAAACAGAAAATTCATCGACAAGATCCAACATCCTACAAATGACTATTTACAATATTTAGCAGCTAGGAGCTCTAGCACAGTAGTCAATATGACTTCAATAGGGCAGGATGCTTGGGAAGCCCCAAGACGGCAGCTCGGCCCCTAACAGTTTTTGGGGACCTGTTTTACCCACGTCTCCCCAGCCACCCACCCCAGAGGCAGAGGCAATGCTGTACGTCAGGGTACGTACCCGACAAGGCGGTTGTGGTTCTTGCAGAGAAACCCTGTTGGCCCCTGGCCGTTTTGAGCAAACTTTGGGACATGCACACGGGACGGTGCTATTAACTCTGCAAAATACAGGGAGTCTTTTGGGAGAAGGCAGCTCTCCAGGCTTCAGGGGGATTTACAGGTGATGGCAGGGCTGGTCCTGCCCAGGGACAGTCACACAGAGCTTAAGACTCAGCCCTCCAGGATCTGGCCCACATGCAACGGGCTGCAGGATCCCACCCCTCATTCCCTGGAGCTGGAAGCAGCTTCCCCACCTCCCGGCAAATTCCAGCACAGCCAGAAATACAGGGCTTCAGAACCACGGGGGCCAGGGAAGCCAAGTGAGCCTGAGGTCCCCTTCTGCACAGAGTGTCCTTCAGCCTTCCCATCAAAACTCATATTCTTAGTGGGCTGAAGTCACCAGAGTGGGGGCCGTGCAGGTGGAGCTGCCTAAGGTTCATTGCCCCACGGCACCAGCGGGGGAAGGAGGCTCTGGGGGCTTTCACAGGAGGGTACATAGGACACCATTCGGGAACAATAGTGAGAGAAAGAAAACAGCAAGGCTCCGTACCCAACGTTTGGGTCCAGGGTAGTGAAACACTTCACATGCTCCCCTTCCCCCCAGCCCCAACTCATCAAAACCAGCACAGAAGTGTTCAGACAGGACAGAAAGCACCAGACAACTTGAACTTGGCGCAGCAGCATGTGGCAGGTTGGAAGACCCTTGTGCACGCCCTGGAGGTGGATCTCCCTGCTGATGGCTCCTCTTCTGGTTTGGGAGCTCCCATCCAGGGGTTTCAGCAACATGGAGCTGTTTTACTTACAGTGAGGAGCTGTGTCATGCCACTAAAGGGCTGCTAACCAAGAGAAACGCTCCTCGGGGGACTTCCTGGGGAGGGTGGGTTTGTTTTCTGTAAACACCAAGTGATGGAGCTCAGCTCTGTGCTCCGCAGAGAAGGTCAAGTCTCAAGTGGCAGCTTTAGGGCTCTGCTTCCAGTGCCGCAGGTTGGATTTTCATGGTGGTTGACTTCAGTGGGTAATACCTGCCTTTCCATGTCTTCCAGAAGATGCCCTGCTTGCGCTCATGCCTCTGGCGGGGGATGGAGCGGAAGTACTTCCCGTTGAGGTTGGCATGGCCACAGGTGCTGAACCACCAGCCACCTACCAAGGCAACGCAAAGGCAGGTTTAACCCAAAGCATTTCCAGACAGAAAACAAAACCACGTTCAAGGCAGCTCCTGCCCCCATTTTCCCCACTTTTCCAGGGCTTCGGGACCTTACAAGACAACCTCGTACACACTTGAGCACACCACGTACACACTTGAGCACACCACGTACACCTTTGCACAGATCCTGTATGACTTCGGGATGCATCTGCAAATCCCTGCTGCTCTTTCTTGCATGCAAAACCCCTTCAAACCCTTCAGCAGCCCCATATCAGGCCTGGGGACTGGCCTCTGCTTTGCTTAAAAGGTTTCCAATCAAGCTGGGAGCCAGCAAAGCTGTCACGAAGGCAGATACTTGGGCCAAGACTTGAATCATGCACCCCTCTTGGCTTCAGCTTCCCTCCCAGTTCCCTGCACGGCTCCTCCCAAGGATGCAGCTTTCCCAGGGAAGTAGGGGACAAACCAGGCTCGACACCAAAGGGTTCTAGTCCCACAGGGTCACTGTCCCACTCACAGCCACTACCAGACAGCTGAAGGGAAAGCGCATGCCTCTGGGAAGGAAGAGCTCATACTGACCTGAGAGGTGTTTGGCACAGTTTGTGTCAGCTTTGAGGTCATGGTCACGATCCCGAGTGGAGAAGGGCAGCTGCCTGAAGTCCCCGATGGCATTTTCCAGCTCTCCAGACAGAGGTCCCAGCAGGTTGAGCGTGTAGGCTGTGCCCTCACCGCCAAGGCTGAAGACAAACTGAACTACCTGGGAATTTCCCTCCCAGTCTTCCAGCTCAATCAGGAGATCATATCTTCCCTCTTGGACAAGGTGATATATCTTCTCCAAGCCCAGCCAGAAATCACCTGAAACACGACACACTGCATTGGCCAAGGGGACACAAATATGCCATGCAAAGCAGACAGATGAACAGGCTCCAGAGACAAAACGGGACAAGCCAGGCCACTGCAGCATTTGAATCTCCTTCTGGCATGCGCAGGACAAGTCAGAAAGACCAAGGACTCTTGCTTCTGCAAGCAGTGTCCCCCCACCCCTCAGCCCAACGCTGTGCTCCAGCACATAGAGATCTCCAGGGGCCAGCAAGGGGAATAACATGCTAAGGTATCACTTATCCCACGATAAGAAGATAGACACTGTTATCCACCTACCACGAAGGTCTCCAAAGCCATTCTTGTAGGCATCCCAAAGCTGATCAAAGTCCACAGAGCCATCTGCGCGCCTCTGGATCACTGTCCAGCCACCTTCTGCGGGCAGGGAAAATACAGTCATTTGAGGTTACCATTTGCAAGATCACCGTGCAAAGCACTGTGGGACATCTCCACCACTTTACCTGCGGTCATGTCGCAGTAAACTTTGAAGGGCTGAGACCCTGCAGGCTGCACCTGGAAAATGCCGCTGCTTTCCTGCCCAGCCAGGAAGAGCTGGTGGCAATCCTTCGGGAGCTCTGCAGAAGGAAACACCATTGAGAAGACAGCCCCAAGTCCCACTTCCTCAGCAGGTTGCTCCTACCACAACCCCAGCACTTGCAGCCCTGGCCACGAGCCCGACCAGTTGTGTACAGCAGTGGCTGTGGCTCTGGACACGTGCTGGAGACGATGGCCTCTGACCCGTGTCTTTAAAATGCTGTGACACCCTATCTTCCCATTTATCCAAACACAGCTCCTTGGGCTTCCGTCCAAGGCAGGAGCCAGGCGTCGGACCAGGCTGGGGTGACCTAGGCTGGAGAGCACGGCTCCCCGATGAGGAGGGACGCAAGGAGCTTCCGAGCTCCCATCGTGCCAGGCAGGAGCAGCCCGTTTGTGGATGGGGGGTAACACCAGGGGCAAGGCAGGGCCAAGCATCCCCATCCCACCCCACGGCTGAAGCTGTCTCCAAGGGCCTCAAGGGCAGAAAGAAACCCCAAGTCCTGACGTCAGGAAAGCATCTGAGCATCCAGCGCGCGACCTCTCGCTCCTGGTGACTGCGGTGGCCCCAGCCATCCATCCTGCTGGGCAACCTGCCACCAGCGGGCACGGGGCCAGGCTGGGGTGACCCTTTTGCCCGAGACACTTCACCTGGGGCAGGGAAGGGGTGGGTGGACCGCGGGGAGCCCCAGCTCATTGCATGAGTGGATTGCTTGGGGTGAGGCCATCCCCCAGCCTGTCCTCCCCCTCCCATCCCCATGCCGGCCAGGCTCCCACCCTGCAGGGACTTTGCCCGGCGCTGCCAGCAAAGCACCGTTTCAACAGCATGGATAAAAGTCCATCCAGGAGCCGCCACCCGCAGCCATTGGGGAGACACAAGGGGTATGTGGCGGGGGGATCTGTTACAAAACCCAAGTCAAAAGGCTGCAGGAAGATGTGCGGGAACATCAGCCCCGGGCCACCAGTGCAGTCAAGGGGCTCTTTGTCAGCCGGGACAGGTGCCCCCATCACCCCCAGACAAAGGGGGTCTGTTCTCCCCACGTGAGGGTGGGATGGATTTTGGTGGCTCACAGCTGCTGCCAGCACAACCCCAAGAGAGACGGGTGAAGAAACCTAAAGACAAGTCCCAGGCTGCGGTGGGGTGGTGGCCACCCCCACAGCCCCGCTCTGGGGTCCCCCTTGCCATAGATGCCCCTGGGGTCAGGGCTGTCACCGTGATCCGGGGGGGCAGCAGGAGAAGGGCCTTCCCCACAGCCACAGGGATTTGCATGGGGCAGAAGGGGGGAACATGGGGCCTTTGAGTCACTGAGGGTAAGAGCAGCCCCTGCGGGCCATCGCCCTGTCATTGCCAGGTGGCCGGGGAGCCCCGATGCTGCGTCGGGGCAAAGAGC